CTCTCTCTCTCTCTCTCTCTCTCTCTCTCTCTCTCTCTCTCTCTCTCTCTCTCTCTCTCTCTCTCTCTCTCTCTCTCTCTCTCTCTCCCCCCACCCCCACTGCTTCCCTCCCTTCCTATTTGTTCGATCTTGGCTTTGTGTCTTTTTTCACTTGCCTGTGTCTCGAATTGGCATGGCAAAATCAGACACATGGGTTTCACAGGCAGGTGGGAAGCAAATCAAGCATCCGGATATATAATGGGCCTTACGCAGAACCCAAGCAGGTCATTTCATTGTCCATTTCTTTGATACTCGGCACGTATCTTGAAATTTGAAACCACTATGGAATGGAGAGAGATTAAATTATTAAGAAAATAAAGGATTAGTACTTCAGCTAGTTCACCAGGGAAAGCACACCGTCACAGTTGCGTCCCGTCCGGGGAGAGAGGGTTGGGGAACTGTCATGCGCATGGTTTCCACCGAATAGAACACGTGGTCATTATCACTGCATCTGGACTGGAAGGTGCCCCAAATACAGCTATAATGAGCGTGTGTTGGATTCAGGTGAAGATGTAGGTTGGCTGGGAAAGGGTACATACGGTCTTCAACCCAGTACAACTTACGGTCATTACAGCTGTACTTGGGGTACTTTCAGTCTGAAAAATACAGCAATAATGACAGTACGTTTTATTGGGGTGAAGACGGCGAGGTAACCCTAGGCTATTTGGGTACCAATGCAAAGTCAGACTTCATTGATGCATGAGGAGCCTGGGCCCCTTTTTTTGGTTTGGGGGGGAAGGGGGAGGGGAGGGGGGGAGAATCTGGGCAGGGGCTGCTAGAAGGAGTGATATGAGCATCTTCTTCTAGATGAATAGCCTGGGATATGGATGTCTTAATACAAAGTCTGACTGGGCTGCTTGTCTGGGCAACATAATAGAGTGAAATCCCTAAGTATGCGTCTGTCATGTCAGGGGAAAGAAAGAAAAGAGTTCCCTTTTGTCTGATAAATGAAACGAGCAGAAACCGGCGGATACACGGCCTCGGCCCCCTGCACAACATTCTAGATGTAACTGGACCTGATGATTGTCCCAATACATTCAGAACGTTGCATCTGTCCGAATGTAACTGGTCCTTCCAGCAGTCTAGATATGTGTGGAATGTTGAGTAGTGAACCGAGGCCCAGAGCATGTCTGTGAGCAGTTATGTAGTGGACTTCTCATGTCCATACTTGCAACAGTAAAATGCTGTGCATACCTAGGAAGATTTTCATGACCGGCCGGTATGGACCGACCAGTCACCTGGGCATGACGCCCGGGGGGGGTTGACGCCGGGGATACCCGGGCATTTGGGGAGAGAGGGGGGGGGGGGGGGGGGGGAAATTGGGGGGGGGGGTTTTCCRCGCTCTCCGAGAGGAGCCCAAATCCGGGCTCTTTCYTTTTTTTGAGTGTTGGCTGCCAAGGGGGGGGAAGGGGAGTATAAATGAATTTTAAAGGGGCGAAAGGGGTTTAAAGGGGGGTGCCTTAGTGTGATTTGGTTATTTTTCTTTTTTATCTTCAGTTCCGTGAGGAATTCTGATGTGACCCTTAGGCAAAAGTTGTTTGTATTGCAATTCTACAAAACATTTTATTTTATTTTTTAATTCAGATTTTTTTTTATTTTTTTTTGTGCTGGGCCTGCCCGGGAACATGCCCGGGATCCATGCCCGGCCGGTCACCCGGTCGCCAAACCGGGCATGACGTGGGGACCCGGGCGACCGGGATATCTCCCTATGCATACTACATAGTATGTACTGCATATTATTTACTGTATTTAACATGCTGTGCATACTACATATTATTCACTGCATAGTATACTGCATAGTATACTACATAGTATTGACTGCATAATATTTATTGTATTTAAAATGCTGTGCATAATATATCGTATACTACATAGTATGTAATGCATAGTGTTAGGACCTGCCAAACACGGACTGAAACACACAGCTAATTTCCGAGTTTTGCGAATAGAATGTATGCCTTGCTGAGTTTTCCGCTTGTTGCTGAGTTTTCTAAGTCTGAGTGTGTGTGTGCTTGCTGGTCTGCGTGCCTGTCTGAGTGCTCGTTGGTTTGAGTGTGTGTGTGTGACCCACAAGGGTACTTGTCCATGCGGAAGGCCCAAAGCGCCAGTACTTACCTGTGGCCGTGACATTTAGTTTTGCAGCGGGGAAGACACTCAAGTGGCGGGGAAAAAGGCTCGCGACACTTGGGAGCAGTGGAAAAACACTCAAGTAGCAGGTAGGCCGGTACCACACCAAGAAGAGGTAGATGTGCCGGGTACTCGAGGCCGAGCAGAAAAAGACAAAGATGGCATTTTTAGAGGCCCAGTAGTTGTAGGCTAGGTCTAGGCGGGTACCAGTCTAACCAGTCTGAGTCTAGGGCCTGTACGGGCAATATCAGTGTCTTCAATGAGGTTTCCCTTCGAATGGGAGGAGTTACCGGTTGCTTGGAGGCCGTGCGGCCTAGGAAGTCACTCGCCAAGAGGCAAGCAGCTATATCTCCAGGAGGAGCGAAGTGCTCCTCATTGTCGGTGTGCAAGTTTGGCGACACACGGGTTGGAGTGCTGGCTGGAGCAGCGCTAGCATAGAGTAGCGTTGCTGGAGAAGGAGCAAGGACAGGAGGAGGAGAAAGACCAGGACTAGGAAGGCGGAGCGCCAAAGTTACTTACCTGGCTGTGGTGGATGCCATCTTCATCACCTTGGTGGACGCTGCATCTGGAAGGCCCCGATGGGGTATAGCTGCTGCACCAAGAAGCTTCGAGGCCAAGTCAGGCATGGCGGCCTGAACAAGAGCAGCCATAGCTGCTTTGTGTTGTCCTTTGCACAGCAGGCCAATGCCCTGGTAGTCCGCCATAGCCTCGGCCTTGGAGGAAGGAGGAAGAAGGGTGGCCATGGCTATGGTGGACCTCATGTGATACCTGCAGTAGAAGAAGAATTCAGACATTGATTTGATTCTAGTTCAGCCATTCAACATTATTATTATTATTTTTTTGTTTGAATAAGAGGGGAGGAGATAAGGAGGAGGAGAGTGGTTGGGGAAGAAAAATGGAATTCTAATTGGTCTTTGTTGGTGTACATCTTCTTCTTCTTCTTTCTTTCATCTTCTTCTTCTTATTATTCTTATTCTTTCCCTCTCTCTCCTCTCAAGTTCATTCATTTCTTTCTGCAATTGGACGGCATTGTACTTTCTCATGAATGTGTACTTCAAAATTGGCGAGGATCATAACAATAGTATACTACATACTGCGTAATATTCTACATAGTATTTACTGCTAGCCTGTCCTCCAAAGTACAACACATCACAACTTCCGCATTACTGCCTTCTTTTCTGTCATTTTCTCTTTCGTTATGTTGGTTTGTTCGCTCATCGGTCTCAATTTGTGTCTGTTAGTCCGTTCGTGCATCGGTCAGTCAGTCAGTCCATCTGTTGCTTGGCCAGTCCCTCGATCTCTCAATTGATCGATTGGTCAGTTGGTCTGTCGGTCTCTCTGTCTCTGTCTCTCTGCCCGTTTGCCGCCTGTTAGTCTGTCAAGTCGATCTGTCAATCTGTTGGTCGGTCTGTCGATCCATCCCTCTGCCTCCCCATCCCTCCATATGTCCATTTGTCTGCATGCCTATCTACCTTCCTGTCTGCCTCCCTACCAGCCGCCCCTCCTGCCTGCCCGTCTGCCTCCCTGCCTCCCTACCTACCTGCCGGACTGCCCGACTTCCGCTCACCTTCTCACCGACCTGCACGCCCGGTCGCCTGCCCCGTCACCTGTCTGCTCACTCATGTGCTCCATGTCTGCCCACTGACACAACTGCCTGCCTGCCTACCGGCCCGCGTTCCCTTGCCTGTTCACGTGCTTGCCCCACTGCTCGTCTACCTGCCCACCTGCCTGTCTGGCTGGCTGTCTGTTTATCCATCGGTCAATACTGTTGCATACTGTAACGTGCAGAGCAGAACAAGAACCGACCTTTCAATACAAAGTACAAGATAACACAGCGGAAGACTTAGATACCAGTGATCCGAACAATCAATGTTGTAATGCAGCCCTGAACATACATCATCATCATCGTTTCATAGTGTGAATGGGTCTGGTGCTTCACACAGGAAGACAGCGCCAGCCCAGAAGATGCACAGACGAGGAGGAAGGGGATAGACGAAGAGGAGGGGGAAGATGGGAATGTCGTCAACACCAAGTCTTCGGCACAAGCCCAAATAGTCCCTCGTCGGAATGTCTGAATCCCAAATGTCAAGTTTGGATCCAATGTCGTCAAGTCTCAAGTCACAACTCTGTCTCTCTCTGTCGTAGTCTGAGAAGTCAGGTGGCGAGAGGTTGAGAAGAGAAGGTGGACTTAGAAGAGGAAGAAGAAGAACTCTCTCTCTCTCTGTGTCCAGTACTAAACTGTGAACTTGGCGCATTGATGCAGGTACCACGAAGATGGAGCTGGAGCGATGGCGCCACAGGTAAGTAACACTGGCCTCCGCCAGTCTCTCTCCCASTCTACGATCTACTACCTACCAGCGCCCAGCGCTGA